CTTCCTTATTCATTGTCCAGCTCTCACATGCATACCAGGCGATTGGAAAGATCATGGCTGAAGTGGTTAGATGCCATCACCTCAGTTCCCCCTCACAGCGACCCGGCGCACAGCATGACGAAACACTGCCTGGTGCTGCACCAGCCTCATGGTCCTTGCTTTGCCTGAGCCCATCGTGGCAGCCACGGCGTCGGTCCAACTTGTGGAGGGTCTTCCCTTTTTTTGCTGACCCTTTACTTGACCAAGCATGATGTCCTTCTCCGGGGACTACTGGACAACACGACCTTCTGACAACATGACCAAAGTGCATGAGATGAGATCTCACCCCTCCCTTCCGAAGGGCATTCCGGCTGTACTTCCTCCAGGACAGATTTGTTCATGCTCTGGCAGTCCACAGTACATTTGGTATTTTTCGCAAACATAATTCAAAGGCATCATCTCTTCCTCAGTCTTCCTTATTCATTGTCCAGCTTTCACATGCATAGGAGGCTACTGAAGATACCATGGTTTGAGTCAGGTGCACCTTAATCTTCAAAGTGACATCTTTGCTCTTTGACACTTTAAAGAGGGCTTTTGCAGCATATTTGCCCAGTGCAAAATGATGTCTGATTTCTTGACTTCTGTTCCCAACACTCACTCCCTGACATCAGCCCTCCTGGCTCCCCATGGTGAGATGGGGCCAACCACTCAACAGTGCCCAGAGCAGACCTGCAGTGGCTGCACCTGGCAGAACCCTGGCTCCTTGAGGGAGAGGCACCCCAGTCCAGGGTGACCCTGGCTGGGCATCTCCCATTCTGTGTGCCCAGCCCTTCCCCTCCCTTCCCTCAGAAAGTGGTTCTGTTTTATTACGTGGTACCTAGGGGTTGGCTGCCAGTCAAGACGTCCCACTCCTTGGCCAGTGATTGGTCCACAGGGAGCAGGGGACTCAGAATGGGCCTATCAGCTTCTTCCCTGGAATTTCTGTTCATCCAGAAGGGAGGGGCCGCTCCTCTCCCAGATCAGATGCTTCAGAGGTGGGACTGCAGACTGGATTGTAGGGAGGACACTAAGAGTGTGAGTCCACACACCTGGAGAAGCTGATGAGTTGATTTTGACCCACAGCACCCCTAGAGGACAGAGTGGAACTGCACCACAGGGTCTCCAAGGCTGTCAGTCTTCACGGAAGCAAAGCCCAAGCCACACCCACTGCTGTGGAGTCCATTCTGACCCACAGCGCCCCTAGAGGACAGAGTGGAAGTGCCCACAGGGTCTCCAAGGCTGTCAGTCTTCACAGAAGCAAAGCCCAAACCACACCCACTGCTGTGGAGTCCATTCCAACCCACAGGGCCCCTAGAGGACAGAGTGGAACTGCCCCATGAGGTTTCCAGGGCTGTCATCTTTACAGAAGCAGACTGCCTCATCTTTCTCCTGTGGAGAGGCTGGTGTGTTTAAACCACCCAACACTTGGCTAGCAGTTGAGCACTTAATCACTGGGCCATCAGTGCTCCTCGTGGCTTGTCATTGTAGACCGTATATTGCCCTTTTACTCCAACTGGTTGGGCCGGGTTCCTGTCACTTGCAGCTACTGTCCTGAACACTTCACTCACTAAGACAGTCATCTGGACCCAGGGGCCTTGGCTGAGGGACAGGGGTGGGTCATTGGAGAACATTGGGAAACAGAGAGGGATGGGACCCACTAGGCAAGGAGAACAGACAGTTTCAAGGACAGGGAACTGGGAGGCACAACACTACCAGGTGAAAAGGTGGCATAATGAGGTGGCTGAGTGGAGGTGAGGAGCTCCGGTGTTTGGAGGTCAGGGCTCTGAGCCACACCGACCACCACGGTCCACCTGAACAACGTGCCTTTCATCTCAAGAACATCTGAGAAGCCATCCTATCCTGCAAAATAATCATCAAACCTGTGATCCAACTAGAAATAAAATGTCCAGAAAACAGAGAGAAAACACGTACGTGTCATGAAGAGCCATCAGCCAAATCCAAGCTTCGGGGAACCGCATGGCCAAGGCCTGACTCAATGCAATGCAGAGAAGAAAGGTGTATATGGGGAGAGGGGGCTGTGGTTAATGGAGACACAAAACATCAACCAGCTGAGACCCTCGGAATTCACGTGGACCCTGATGGGATCTAATGAACCAGGAAGAAGAGAGTAACGAGACTGGAATCCAAACTGGGCATTTGGTGAAACGAAGGTGATGTTGTTCATTTGATCAACAGTCATGATGTCTCTTGATGGTGGCCTTTATCAGCGTCCTTCTCTCTCAGACATATGTGCACGACCTTTATGGGTGAACGATGGGGCGTCTGGAAGGCAGAGGAACACACTACTCACTGCCGTCGAGTTGTTTCTGACTCAGTGACCTCCAGTGGGTTTCCGAGGAAGTAGATTGCCCCATCTTCCTTCTGAGGAGTGGCTGCTGGGTTTGAACCTCCGACCTTCCAGTTAGCAGTCAAGTGCCCTATCCACTATACCACCAGAGCTCCTAGGGGAACACACTCAACTCACTGCCATGGAGTCAATTTTGACTCATAGTGACCCCTCTTTGGGTTTCCAAGGTGGTATCTCTAGGGAAGTAGATTGCCCAAGAGGAGTAGCTGGTGGGTTTGAACTACCAGCCTTCTGGTTAGCAGTCAAATGCTTTAGGCACTGCACCACTGAGACTCATGGGGAACACATTGTTGTTGTTGTTATGTGCCATCGAGTCGGCCCCAACTCATAGCGACCCCTCCTTGGGTTTCCGAGGCAGTATCACTACGGAAGTAGGATTGCCCAACCTTCCTT